TGAGTAGAACAGTAGTAACCCTCCGCACATGCATAACAGCCATTGTTCATCGAACCACCACCACATTGACCATAGCCATTGATAGTGCTGTAGCTAGAACAGGTACACGTTTCCTCGCTGTTTCCACCAGTAGATGTAGTACCGGCTGACGAACTAGTGACTCCTCCAGCAGAGGAGGCAGTACCTGCACTCGAGGCCTTTGTAGAAGATGTAGTACCTTGTGGCGCCAAAGTGGTTGTACCATCGTTTCCGCCACTGCCGTTACCACAGTCACCATAGGCAGCCCATTCATAGTTTGGTGCATCAGTTTGCGATCTGTCGTAATTGTCGACATTGTCACAACCGGTGATATAGTCATAAGCTTGGTTATACTTCCAATTGTTACATTCGCTGTAGTCCGTCACTCCGTTGGCACACCATTGATACTTAATTTGGAATACTGGCATGACAACGTTACCATTAGCGTCTGGGGTAATGGTCAGGGAGACAGTAGTCTCCCAGTTACCTGCATCACTGATCAGTGCAATGTTCGAGTTCCGAGAGAACAAAACCTTGTTGACACCGCCATGGATCATCATCTCACTCAGCGAAGACACAGACATCGAGTCCTCAGATGTAAACTTGATTGTGACATCATAGTTATCGCCTCCAGTCCATTTGACATTGGAAACAACGATATCCGCAATTGGCAAATTAACAAGACTAGCATGGTATGTGAAATCGTAACCGGAACATGCAACAGCACATTGTCCTGTAGAGACTGCGTCAGATGATGTAGCAGATGACCCCGATGTAGTTCCGCTAGAAACATCGGCAGATGATGTAGTGCCAGCAGGAGCCAAAGTTGTGGTCTCACTAGAAGCAGCACTAGAAGCAGCACTAGAAGCAGCACTAGAAGTAGCACTAGAAGCAGCGCTAGAAGCAGCACTAGAAGCAGCACTAGAAGTAGCACTAGAAGCAGCACTAGAAGCAGCACTGGAAGCAGCACTAGAAGTAGCACTGGAAGCAGCACTGGAAGCAACACTAGAAGCAGCGCTAGAAGCAGCACTAGAAGCACCGGCAGAAGCACCGGAAGAAGCTGTACACAGAGGACTAGTAGAAGTACCTGGAATACACTGTGCGTAGTACTCATTCTGAGTAGAACAGTAGTAACCCTCCGCACATGCATAACAGCCATTGTTCATCGAACCACCACCACATTGACCATAGCCATTGATAGTGCTGTAGCT